CTGGCCAGTTCACCTGAGGCTACTGGCAGAGCTGGCCATGCACCCCCAGCACTGGTTCCCTCCAGCCAAAAGCATGCTCTAGTGCCCCCCAGCTTCTGGCCTGAGCCATTGCAAGCATGTGCCTGCATTTCCTGAGTCAAGAGGGAATGTCTGTTCACTTGCAAATTGGTTCAATCTAAGCAGGTTAGACTAATCTGCAAAGACTGCAAAGACAGGTAAGCAGCAAGGGTCCAGATAGTTCTGAGAATTGGGGGGTGGCATACGCACCAATTCAAGGCCTTAAATGCCTCTATACCAATGCTCGTAGTATGGGGAATAAGCAGGAGGAACTCGCCCCCCGGATAGCTACTTCAAACCTGGACATAGTAGGGCTCACAGAAACCTGGTGGGATTCATCCCATGACGGCAGTCAACATTAGGGACTATAGGCTGTATAGGCAGGATAGAACAGGGAGGAAAGGCGGGGGTGTGGTGCTCTACGTCAAAGAGCAATACACAACCTCAACCAGCAGGATGGGGTCAGAGGAGAGACAGGCTAAAGTGCTCTGGGTCAGGATACATGGGGGTCATGGGGAAAGGGACTTAACGGTGGGGGTCTACTACAGACCTCCCATCCAAGGGGAAGAGCTGGACTGAGAATTCTTGGGGCAGCTTGTAGAGGCACTTGAGGCAAGGGATGTAGTTGTCATGGGTGATCTAAATTACCCGGACATCTGCTGGGAGGAGCAGTCAGCCAGGTGTGACTGCTCACGGAGGTTCCTGGCCAAGATTCAGGACCTCCACTTAACCCAAGAGGTACACAGTCCTACCAGGAGAAATGCCCTGCTGGACCTGGTCCTGGCCACAGGTGACAACCTGGTGAAGGGACTCCAGGTCCTCAGCCACCTGGACACTAGCGATCATCACTTGCTGGAATTCACCATCCAGCGCAGGGTGTCAAGGGCCTGCAGCAAGGCAACAGCCTTAGACTTTAAGAGGGCCAACTTCAATGAGCTGAGCAGATTAGTGGGAGAGACACTACGGTCCTGGAGAGTAGGGGAACTGGGTGCCCAAGATGAATGGTTGTTCCTTAAGGAGACGATACTCAGAGCCCAAGGGGTGACGATCCTAACAAGAAGCAAAGGGGGCAAGAGTGCCCAAAAGCCCCCCTGGCTCACCAAGGGTGTTTGTGAATGCCTGATTGCCAAAAAGGAGGTGTACACCCAGTGGAAGGGAGGGGCTATCAGCAAAGAGGAGTATACCTCCACCGCTCGGGTCTGTAGGGGGGCTGTTAGAAAAGCTAAGGCAGATACGGAACTAGGGCTAGCATCAAAGATCAAGGATAACAAGAAGTCCTTTTTTAAATACAGAGGAAGAATGAAGAACCCCCCCGGGTAATGTGGGGCCCCTGCAAGATATGCTTCGCTATCTGGTGGTTGCACCAGAGGAGAAAGCAGACCTCTTTAACAAATTCTTCGCCTCTATTTTCTTGTGCAGGGACCACGACTCCCCTACCAAGATTCACGACAGACTTGGGAGAAACTCCACCAAGTCTAGAGTCAGGGAGGACTGGGCTAGAGAACTTCTGGAGGGGCTGGACATGTTCAAATCAGCAGATCCAAATGCTCTCAACCCCAGGGTGTTCAGGGAATTGGCAGGGGTTATCGCGGGGCCCCTGCCATGGCTTTACGAGCACTTGTGGTGACTAGGAGAGGGCCAATGTGGTCCCCATCTTTAAAAAAAGGGAAGAGGGAGGACCCAGGCAACTATAGGCCCATTATTCTTACTTCCTGGGGAAGCTTTTTGAGAAGATTATCGAAGATCGCATCTGTGATGGGCCAGCAGCGGGGATGATACTCCAGGGCAACCACCATGGTTTCATTAGGGGCAGGTCCTGTCAGACCAACCTGATTGCCTTCTACAATCAGGTCACAAAATCATTGGACGCAGGTGTCACGGTGGATATAGTCTTTCTGGACTTCAGGAAGGCCTTTGACACTGTCTCCCACACCATTCTCATTAAAAAGCTAGGTGACTGTGATATTGATGCCTACACAGTCAGATGGATTGTAAATTGGCTGAGGGGTTGTACTCAGGGAGTGCTGGTGGACAGGTCATTTTCAACCTGGAAGGAAGTGGGCAGTGGAGTCCCCCAGGCCTCAGTCCTTGGGCCCACACTGTTCAATTTCTTTATTAGCGACTTGGACAACGGGGTGAAGAGCAGCCTGTTTAAATTTGCAGACGACACCAAGATTTGGGGTGAGGTGGGCACACTAGAAGGGAAGGACAGATTACAGTGGGACCGGGACACGTTACAGGGGTGGGCAAATGAAAATAGGATGGGATTCAATACTGACAAGTGCAGGGTGCTGCACTTGGGCAGTAGGAACCAGCAGCATACCTATAGGCTGGGGAACTCCCTTCTCGAAAGCACGGTGGCAGAAAGAGATCTCGGAGTCATTAGACTCCAAGATGAACATGGGCCGACAATGTGAGAACATGGTCAGTAGGGCTAACCGTACCTTGTCGTGGATCCACAGATGCATCACAAGCAGGGCCAAGAAGGTGGTCCTCCCCCTCTGTGACACTGGTCAGGCCGCAGCTGGAGTACTGCATCCACTTCTGGGTGCCGCACTTCAGTAGGGATGTGGACAGCATTGAGAGGGTCCAAAGGAGGGCCACTCACATGATCTGGGGACAGCAGGGCAAACCCTATGAGAAGCTACAGGACCTTAACCTGTTCAGCCTTCACAAAAGAAGGCTGAGGGGGGGCCTGGTGGCCGTCTATAAACTTACTAGGGGGGACCAGCGGGGTTTGGGAGAGACCTTGCTCCCCCAAGCGCCTCCCGGAGTAACAAGGAATAACGGCCATAAGTTGCTAGAGAGTAGATTTAGACTAGACATTAGAAGGCACTACTTCACAGTCAGGGCAGCTAGGATCTGGAACCAACTTCCAAGGGAAGTGGTGATAGCTCCTACCCTGGGGGTCTTTAAGAGGAGGCTCGACACTTACCTGGCTGGGGTCATTTGAGCCCAGTCTTTTCTCCTGCCCAGGGCGGGGGGTCGGACTAGAAGATCTACAAGGTCCCTTCCAACCCTACATCTATGAATCAATTCAGGCTCTGGCTTTTCTGAATGTCTGTCCCTAGCCCAGATGGATCACTTGTATGATGCCTACATTTTTAGGTAACCCAAAACTCCTCTTCTATATAGCTAGTAGCAAAACAGAGAAAACTATATACTAAATGAGGTTTGTCTGGGAATGAAGTATTAAGTTTGCGCTGCCAAATTTACACAAAGCAAACTGATGGTAAAGATTGCAGAGGCAGAGCAACTGAAGATCACTTCACTTGAGGCAGGGTTTTTGCACAACTGTAGTCTGATTTAAAGACAAGGTGACAACATTCTGTTCTGAACTGAAGTAGAGAAAGTGCCTACTCACTCACAGCTGCTGTCACATAGAACAGAAGCTGTTCAATGACCTAAATGGGGGGCTGCTAAATGGGAAAGAATGATACCTATGTACTGACAAATTTCTGGCCAGGCTGGTCAAAAAGCATGTAATTCTGCCTGCAAGGCAATGACTGAATTAGGTGAACCTGCAATGATTTCCATTTCACTCCAAGTGATGGGCCACTTGTTACAGCTGTGCTTAATTGAAATAGCTTTTGCCCTAGGATCTTGTCTATGCAGGGACACTTTGGACCATTGAGCTTTTTTCCATGTGCAAGTGCTACAGCACCAGGTACTTTGAAAAGTGCCCAGTGCTGTGATGCTTGCAGTTGTGTAAGTGGCAAAATGCACATCATCATAAAGAAAATGGCAGTGGTGCACTTTTGAATTAAAACACGTTGGAGGTGCTCTAGTTCAAAAGCGCATCGCTGCCATTTTCTGCACGTTGACGTGCATTTCACCACTTATACAACTGCACGCAGCACAGCTCAGTGCACATCAGCTCGCATACAGCACAGACTTCATTAATCAAGTCTACTCCACAGTGGCAGATCTCCGGCATGCTGTGGGACAAAAAGGTATGTGTATAAATGCCCATTAAGACCAACTACCTAACTGCAAAAAATGAATACACACAAGTCAAAAATGCATTAAACCTACGGCTGGATGCTTTCATTCAGAAGCCGAGAGGCTTTATTTTATACAGTTACAAAATAGGCCACTCCTTCTGAATGAGCATGCCCATAGGGACTTAATAAGCTTTTTACTTATGCACATTAACTTCACACTTAAGTGAATTTGACTTAACTGCTATACAGAGTAGTCCTAAGGCATGTGCCCTGAAAAAGCTTTCAGTACTCTCTCAGGGCTTGTCTTCACTGTTAAAAAGCTGCATGTTTCCTCAGGGTAACTGAGCAAATATAAGCACACCTGAAGCAAAAACATAATTAAGACACTTCAATTTTACAGTCAAGTAAACTTGTCAAATGGAGACTTATCCTCACAACTTTAGTTGACAGTGACAACAAATTCACTACTTAGAAGAAAAGATGTCTTCTTCTTTTAATACAGCATACGAATAAATCAGGAATAGCTTATTTGGCACTCAGGGTATGGTCTCTCAAAGTGCTAGAAAACTCCAGAGGAGGAAGAACACTTATAAGGCTAATCCTTTTATAATAATCATAGGTGGAGCAACAGCTTCATTAGTGCAGGTGTTTACAAGGGTTACTGTGGGGGGGGGGGGGGGGGTTCTGTTTTTTTCAACAGAATTTTTTAAGAACCAGAGAGATATTAAATATATACAAGGCTAGTGGTTACTGGAGGAATTGTTACTACTGCTTGATTCTGAGAACATGCGGTAGCAGCAGAGCATGTAAGCGTCTACTGAACTTCATATCCTTTGAAATGAATGCAGTTTTTCATATGGTTAACATTAAGCACGTTAAAATGCTACTGGATAAGGACCAGTCATGCTGATGATGACGCAACGCAAATATTTTAATGCAATACCAAGAAAACATTTACAATCAAAGAAAATAATAATACAAGGGGGTATTTCCCAGTACCTTGGTCTGATGAACTGTGTAGATGTGACATAGGAGAATGGTTCTCTTGGGGCTCCTAAAAACTTCAGTGCAGTTCTGCTCAGAGTATTTGGCTAAAAGGACTGGAAAAAATGCCAGAAATGATCAGTCACCATAAAATTGTCAGTCAGTGGCAGAGTAAAGAGCACAGATAAGTATCAGATTTTATTTGCTTCAAACCTCATTAGTGCAGCATATTCTAAGCTACTCTTGTTTCTCCACGGGAGCCTTGTAATCATTACAGACTTAGAAGAACCATATAATAATTGTACTGCTATAAACAGCTATAAATTATAATTGGAGAAGGGTGTCAGAAAATCCTTGCACTGACACACCTTTAATCCTCTTAAAATAAGTCCGTTCTGAGACTTGTTTTTTCCCTGCAGCAAGTTCCCAGAGTATTTATGAGCAAGGATCTACTTAAATACTCAGGCCTTTACCCTGTGATATGTTGAGTGCCCTCTATTTGGAGTACACGAACTGTTCAGTGCCTTACAGGACCTGGCTCCTTGTCCCTTGTCTAGCTGGTAACAAATTATTCTGGAGTGCTTTGTCTAATCTCAGTAGGAATGAATTTCAGTATTGAAGATGCAATCATTTCCCTCAGAAAATTAATCTGTGGCCACACAGATCTGAGTAAGGTTTTTCTCTTTCATCCATTACTTTCTAATTAGCCTCTGCCTGGAAAAAAATCCTTTCCAGTACCTCTGTGTTAATGCCATCCAGGTACCTGTAGGTGACCTCTTCATTGTCTCCCTACTTTTCCCTATCAATAGGGCCCTTCCTTTCACCTGCCTTACTTTGGCTTTGGACAACAAGCTAGCCAAGGAACTAGGAATCAGGGGCTTTCCCCCACCCTTTCATTCCAGGAAGTCATTTTCATGAGTCTAATCCTCCCCTCTCTGCAACGACCTACTCCCTGAGGACAGGAGGGTGTTGCAATATTGCTTTACCTTATTTACAATGAAGTAATTGTAATCAGGACAAGGTTCAGCCTCCCTCCAGATATGTATTGCCAGAGCCAGATTCATTGTTTGAGCTGGGCTTGTGGCTAGCCCTAACTCTCCATATCCCATAGGGCAATATGACCTGAAATCCACAGAGTCCTAATGATGCTTTACACATCAAAGTGAGCATATTTATTGACGAATTCAAGGAATCTTTGAATATGAATAATAACGTTTAAGGAGGGAGAGCTGTAGAACAGGACATTGTATCAGATCCCTTCCTTGAAGACCTTTTATCTCCAGCTGCAGTTACTTGTCTTGGTCTTGGCTTACAGACCATGAGCCTGGGGACAGGGCAAAAAGTAAAGGCTTTAAATTGCAACACAATCTATTTAGGTTAGATGTTGGGAGGAACTTCCTAATTATTTGGGCAGATAAGCCCTGGAAGAGATTACTTTGGGAAGTGCTAAAATCTGTCTCAGTAGAAGTGTTTGAGATGAATACCTGATGGGAAGGTTTAGACAGAGATGATCCTGTCTTGAGCAGGGCAGTGGACTTGATGACTTCCTGAGGTGCCTTCCTGTCCTATTTTTCTAAGATTCTTATTAGATCAGGGTATAATACATGCGAAGGGGCAAGCAGAGGGACCTACGTGCCCTGTAATGCATCCTGAAAATGGCAAAAATGCTCCAAAAATTACCCACCAGAAAACAGTAACTGCCTGGAAGTGTTTTATGTTGAAGTGCTTCCTGTTACATCTGTATGCTGTATGGATCCACCAGCATGCCAACAGTGCTCTGCTCTCCCCATGAGAAAGGGAAAAAGCAAAGCAGACCGTCAATGAATGCTCTCCTGTGTGCACCGGCTCTGCTCTCCTGGAGTGCCTCCTTCACCCTGAACCAGGAGGTCCCCCTAGCTGGACAGCACACCACTGCGTGCAAGCATGGCAATTTTGAAGTCTAGGCAAGGGGCATGGCAGGGGCTTGTACATCTGTTTACAGTAGAAGTGGTCCATCTCCGAAGCACTTCATTTTAAGTGCTTCAACTGTTACATCTGTCCCCACCCTTTTAGAATCTCTCATGTATTTCTAACAATTTAACAAGGCAGAGAACATCAACATTTAATAACAAATCTAAACAAAATACTCCGTAATTGGATAAGGTAGGCTGCCAACTCCAATTAAGAGTAGATGCACAGAAAAGAATTTCAGTACAGAGAAGCACAAATGGTGCTCTTATCAGGGCTCACTACCCTCTGGTGGATATAATTTGAACTACAAAACTGTGATAAATAGCATTTTACTGTTAATACCTAATGGCTGCGCAATGGCTGTGCAAAGCTTTGAACTGAGATTTGGATTCAGATGATTTGGAGGCTGAATCTATTAATCTGAATCGAATCACTAGAAGCTTTAGGCTTTCTGAATCAATTTGGAGCTTCCGGATCGATTTGGAAAAGATTTGGCAATTCAGATATTCAGCCATAGGGCATAATGAATTTGACGAGAAACCCCTACACCTATCTCCTTGAAACTTGGCAGGCTTTGTGGCCTCAGCAAGAGCTACAACCCCTGAAGTTTTCACCCCACTGTGGCTTAACATGCACACGTGACATGAGTTTTGCTTTCAGGATTTTGAGGTGCAGTTTCCCAGAAACCCCTAAACTTATCACCTTTAAACTTGGCAGGCTTCATGCTCTCAGGAGAGGCTACATCCCTGTAAGTTTCATCTGAATCGGTCAAAAAACAATCAAGTTATAGATATTTCATTCATTCCCCATTATACTCTATGGCTGAATCTCCAAATCGGCTCTGAATCTTCCAAGGTGATTTGGCCGAATCGAATCTCTGGCATCCGAATTAGCAGAATCTGAATCAAATAGTTCCCTATTTTCACAGGCCTACTAATGGGGATTCTCCTTTAGCTCAAGTGGGTTTTTTTCTTCCCCGAGGTGTGACTTGATTTTAGAACTCAAGGCATGTGATCAGAATAAGGGATAACAAACTGCAAGAAAAGTGGCCACAAGTGCATATCAGTTCTGCCATTTGACTTCTCTCTTCTATTTCCCTCCCCTGTAAGTACCCTTTAAGCCAAACAAAAAACTAATAAAGTCAGAATCCAGTTTTCAAGCCCATGTGCTTTTGGGTGCTTAGAGTCTTCCCCAATCTATGTACTGTCCAGGTGAGCACAGCAAGATGCCCCAGATCCTGATCCTTCTGTTGGAAACAAAACAACCATGGTTTCTTAAGGCTCAGCTGGACCTAGCCTTCATGAAAACTAGGCAAATCCAGATAACCCGAGATCTGTTCCCACTAAACCTGCTTTCTGTCGCATTCAGAGGCCCTTAGAAAGGAATGGCCTCAGGCCAACTCCTGTGCTGACCTGACTTTCTCTTGACTTCAAACATTAATGTACTATTAATAAAACTGATTGTTCATATTATTAAATTAACTTTCCCAGCAGAGAAGGATAACATAGCGTGCTCTCTACATAATAAATAAAGAAGCTTTATTTCTCCTTCTAGAGAAGTTATCAAGCCCCACAAGCACAAGTGAAACTACTAATGGACAATTTCAACTTAGTGCATTTAACAAACACTTTCCAAGCTTCTTTAAAAAACTGGAGTATATTGGCAGGTGGGGTTGCATAAATATGCAGCAGGGTCTAACACAATGTGTTGGGAAATAAGATATCAGCTCTGTTAAACTAGTCATGGAGGGGATAAATATAGCTCCGGGGGTTTATTTCTTGGTACTAAGCCATCTTACTGCTGTACATGCATGTGAATGTTATAAAGTAGGTGCTGTGAAAGCTGATGCCAGGTTTCTTCCTTGACCAAGCAGAAATCCAGTGTTAGCATATAGGAGGAACTGGCTGCTCTTCAGTAAAATCTTAATGAAAAGAGCCTATGGTTTGCTTAGTACCAGCAACTGAACAGCCATGATTGTGTTCACAGTGAAATGCTGCACAATGCCCTAACAAAAATGTAGAAAGAATTCGGGTAAGAACAATCTCAAAACTGCAAAAAGCAAAGTCCTATACCTAGGTAGATCGCTTTCTTACAAATTAAACCCCCAGACACGCACACTCAGGCACTTTCCATTCTCTTGGAAAATCTACTGTAGTCTACACCTCTCATGCTAATCAGGTTCTCAAGCCCACCCAGACTAACAAGAGCAGTGAGGATAAGCAAATAGCAGAGCCTGATCCTTTCAGGATAGGGGACAAGTGGGGATGTTTGCTCACCTGCTTCTGGCTTGGCCACTGCCAGTCTATAAATCCCTTCTGACAGCAACTACAGGAAGACTGGGTGCAATGTTCAACTGCTTGAGCACTTAGTCTTGCAAACCAGGAGTCCCTGATTCATAACCTGTGACCCAGATTCCCAAGCATCTTCCCATCCCCCTGGTTTGACTTGCACAAATACTTCTTCCTTCCTACCCAGTGAAAGTTTCCCTTTCCTGGGGAGAAGTCTAGAGGTTTGGGGTTCTCAAGCAAGTGTCCCAAAGCCTAACAATATATAGCAGAAGTCTTCCAGAAAAGTTGCTCAAAAAATGAGACAAGGCTGTAGTGCTGCCCACATACTGCCTCTGGGCCTTTTCTTTTTCTTTCTTGTGTTATGATTTACAACTGAAGTAGATGTTCTAACTGTAGAATTGCCCCTGTCCCCCCCCCACATTAAATAAGGTCTCCCTACTGGGAATTTGTAGTGCTGTGGGTATGCCTGAATATGCTTAGTTATCTGTTGGTGTGCTGAATTTGTCTGCTCCTAAGAAGATTCTTCTTCTTAATCTTAATCCACTACACTGGATACATTTCAACTTCCTCTACATCCCCACAGCTGAGCTGTGCCTTTCTTTTCCTTTTCCAGTGATTCTTGTTTCTTCACTAGCCTTAAATGTTTGGCAAACATCACCAAACAGGGCCCAAAACAGTGGGATCACCATAGCTTAAAATGCTGTTGACTGCGAGGGCCCAGCCTAATGAGCTATATAGCAAACTAGCAAGTTGCCTGTCAAGAATGATTGGGGGGGGGGGGG